CAATCTGATCCAAAACAATTTAGCGTTCACTTAGCCAGAAAAAAAATTGATTTTACCAAGCAGATGCTTCCATAAATAAAAATGTAGCTAAGTGCATAATGGCTAATGATGAGCATCAATCAGTGAGTGGTGCGTAGGTTTCTGCGACTTTTATTGCATTTCGTGACGCAGACGGTAACTTCTCTTTGAACACTGGAAAAAATGGAAACAAGTTACTGACATCATTTGCTGTACAGTCAGTGAGGGTATGACAATCAGTTTACCTAATTATTTATTATATAATAATCATGATTAGTGGGAGAATATTTTTAAAATCAGCGACACGGGACGGATTGTGTTCCACGTTGCGAATTTGTGCGTCTGTGTGCAAAGGTGAAGGGACGTCATCGTCACGATTTGTCCAGACTGCGAGTGGCGCTGATCACCGCGGATGCGCGCTGCACTTAGCGACGTAGCCCAGTGCCGGGCAATGACATGAGCAGACACATGAAAAGAAGAAAAAAAAAATATCCTGGAGTTCGGATCAAACAGGAGGTAGTCGCATCAGCGGCATTTTTTGGGGGGATGCTGCCTTTAGAACACATCGCATTCACCGGCGAGACACCAAAGGACTTGGATGATTGCATTCATTCACGCAGGAAGCTGTGACACATGGAAAAAAACACGAGTTTGAAAAAGACGCTTGTTCAATCGTTTGAATCAGTGTGGGAGGGAGAGAGGAGGGGGGGGCGGGCGCACTCAAAAGTATACATCTAATCAGTCAATCACCGAGTTACAACGCTAGACCTCAGCTTGTCTCTTGATAGCCCTTTGACAGGACTGCATGTAGTGGGGGACAGGTACCATTTCCTCCCGCTACTCTCGTCTAGACAGCTCTGGCATTCAAAACAGGGCTCGAGAATCCGCGGACACGTTTCCGTGCACATTCCTCAAAGGGTGCACTCTTGACTGCGTGACTCATGCGCTGACATTTGCATGAACGTGCGTGTGCAGCTGGCTCCGATTCGCCAACCTCAAAGTCATTTTTGTTTCTTCGCCTCAGTAAGATAGCGTTCGCCGGAGGCAGGCGCTGCTCCCGCCGTTGACATAAGACCACGACACAGTGAGGCTGCTTGACCGCTGTTTTTCTACTCGTAGTCGAAAAAGTGCAAAAAAAAAAACCCACGCTGCCAACAAATGCATCGGTCAGAACGTGAATAAAAGTGAATTACAGAGGGGACTGAGAGGCACACTGCAGCAAAGTGGAGACTGCGGGCTCAGGGTCGGGACTGTTTTTCTACTTCTAAACGTTACTGCAAGAAACAGCGCAAAATGAGACACAATTGCCACTTCCGCACCGACTTCCTCTTTCAGTCCACATCAGATGTATCATGAAAGATTTGCTTTCTGACAAAACTGACTGAAGAGGGGACGCTGGCCTCTCCGAAGTGCACATTCACACAGCAGTTTGCGGCGCTGACATCATTTGACGTGTGGAAATTATCAGCGTGGCGAAGGCAAATGCTTTCAACACGAAAGAAAGGCTATGCAGGCAGCGGGTTTCGGGTGATGAAATTTACGGTCTGCTTCTGACGACAGTAAATTTGGTGGTCAACTTCAATCCCTCCCGTCAAAAAAATAAATTAATTCAAAATTGGGGGAAAAAAGCCACATTAGACTAAATCAGGGGTGCCCACACTTTTTCAGCACGGGAGCTACTTATGAAATGACCAATTGCTCATATTTATGTATTTATTTATTTACAAAGTATCTATCTATAAATGTACTTTGAACTGTTCACAATCACAATAGAATGATTGGAGATGTTTTTTTTTTTTTTTGTTTCGGGCTTTACGCTACTCTGATGACTCGCACCGAATGGAAATGGCCAAGGGGCGGAGTCCGGACAGGAGCTGCGGATTGCGGGCCGCGCGGTACTTGGACTTATCAATGTTTTTATCAATGGCCCAAAAATGCAGCGCCACATTTCCATCCTTGGGCCAGCCAGAAAGGCTCCGAGCGGAGTGACGCACGGCTAAGCCGGCCGTCCCCGTTGCCACCGACACCGCACCGACCGGCAGCCGCGACACGTCATCGGAGGGCCCCCGCCTCGCGCCGGTGATGGGGCGAGGAGTCGACCCAAACTTAGTTGCACCAAATGAGCCAAACCCAAACATCACGCTGTTTTCTTCCAAGTATTAGCCCCGACTAAAGCTTTGGATCAGGATTTTTCCGAACGATTGTCAAATATGGATTTCTGTAAATCAGGCAACTAATCCTTTATGGCGTGCGTAACCTCCCTTTCGATGTTAGATGTTAGGGAAAGGGCCCCAAATGCTTGAAATCATCACGCAGGCTTGGAAAATATGAACAAGGAAAAACGAAGAACTGCAGAAAACCACCAAGATACCCCTGAGCAAAGAATTTCTCAACAAAAAGGGCCGCTCGTGGCCAGTGGTAGAAAGTCGGTTAGCCAAGGAATGTGGGTTTCCTTGTCTGTCAAAGTCAACATGTTGAATGATTGACGGCGTGAAATTGTTGTTTCGCTCCGTGTCCGAAAAGTGGGCGGGGCCGACTTGGCTCGCGGAGATTCTCGCCGAGCTTTTGCTTTCATTAAAGCTGTCTTCAATTTTCCTAGGAAGCGCCTTGAAGATTAGCCCTCAAGAAAATGCCAAGCAGGAAGATCGGCCAGTACCAATCCAATAATTTCCAAATAAGTCCGTGTAAGTGTGAGAAAATTATACATCTCAACACCGTGCGCCATTATTTGCTGAGTCCGGAGAACAGGATCTCATCATTTTAAGAGGCCCCCCTATTATTTCATAAATCTTCCCCTGCGATGCCATCCAAGTATGTATCAGCAATCTCTGTCCTGCCCGCGTCGGAGAACAATGGCGGCGTTGAGCAAGTACCCGTTTTCAGCATTTACCGTAAAAAAAGTCAGGCCATCCGATTTCACGGCGGTCGCCGCCGAAAATTCACAGCGGACCATGCGCATGGAAGCCATTTGCCGAATGAACTGCTCCTCCATGCAAATTCACACTCATAACCATGCATAAGGTTTTTTTTTTTTTTTGAACGCATCATTCCGCTAGTTTTCCAGAGCTGCGTGAGAAACGCGTTGTATAATCACATACGGCGTAAAGGGAAGAGGGGGGTGAACATTCCGCTAGTTTTCCAGAGCTGCGTGAGAAACGTGTTGTATAATCGCATACGGCATAAAGGGAAGAGGGGGGTGAAAAAAAAATGTGAAAAATGAAGATAAAGATGTCTAATCTATATTACATGCTTTGCAACGACATGATTTATAGCGGTGACTGGCACATAGCAGAGTGAGTCACCCACACCATCTGCCCCTTCCAACCACCTTGCTGGGGCCCGCGTGCTTCATCAGCACTCCTCCCAAGGGTGATGGATGGCCTGTCCATACTCCTCAATGACTAAAGCCAACTCCTTCCACACCAATATTACTCAATTCCTATCGCCCTTCCTCTGACTCACTCCCGGATCCTTGGAAGCGCCACGGCTACTTTAGCAATTCCGCAGCAAAATGAGGGTCAGCAACGTTGGTGCCACGGACCGCATTTTCTTTGATGATCTAAGTTCATGCAAGGCACTCAGTTCGAATCGCTCAGCGGTTCCTTACGAAGAAAAACGGGATTCGCAGGTGTACGCGCACCAAATAGCCACATATGGTGCAAATTACTCAAGTGCAGGGTGTTGGAGACGTCGAGGGGGTTCTTGGACAGTGGATGGTGCGGCATTGCCACTGTTACATGTGACAAATTTATTGGAAAAAAAAAAGAAGCTTTTCTTTGACCGCTTTGGACCAGCCAATCGCAGGACACAAATTTTAGCAATTCCGCAGCAAAATGAGGGTCAGCAACGTTGGTGCCACGGACCGCATTTTCTTTGATGATCTAAGTTCATGCAAGGCACTCAGTTCGAATCGCTCAGCGGTTCCTTACGAAGAAAAACGGGATTCGCAGGTGTACGCGCACCAAATAGCCACATATGGTGCAAATTACTCAAGTGCAGGGTGTTGGAGATGTCGAGGGGGTTCTTGGACAGTGGATGGTGCGGCATTGCCACTGTTACATGTGACACATTTATTGGAAAAAAAAAAGCTTTTCTTTGACCGCTTTGGACAAGCCAATCGCAGGACACAAACAGATGAACAAACATTTACACAAGACTTGGGGACTTTCTTATTCTTATTCTTAAAGGCCTGTGAGTTACCATGCTAACCTGTTAGCACTGCTAACTTTTCCACCTTTGTTTACCTTTTAGTGTTTTGCGTCATGCTAACCCGTTTTGCGCTACTCCAGCACTTAAGAGCGGAGAATATCAGCAGTGTTGTTGTTGTGTAAATTGGTCGTCTGCTCCAAAAGTTGTTTCCTTTATTTGTACTTTCCATCCTCTGTTCTTTGTACGTCATCCTAAACCGTTTGTAGTATTACAGCATTTTAGCGCTGATCTATTTTTTTTTTTTAGCTGAGAACATCAGCACGACCGGACTTGGGTTGTTCATTTACGATGCGACAAATCTTTTTCCAGATTTCTAGAATTAGCTTGCCTTGACGAGGTATTACTTTCACTTGAATTTTAACCAAAGGTCAAACCTTTCATTTCCTAAATTGCTGGTGTGCTTGTAAAATTTTGTCTGGCATTTTTAAGAAGTTTGAAAGACATAAATAATAATAATGATCAGTAATATGAAGTCCTTCTGGAGAATCGAATCAATTCCCAGACCATAAACACGGACGCACAAAACATTGCGGAGTGATCACGTCAGAGTCCACTCGACTGCTTATCGTCTCGACATAACGAAGATATCATCTTCAACGCCGCACCGTTTAGAAACATGTGGTAAGTCTCCACACTTTAATTAAACTGACAGCCTGTTTACATTTTCGATGCTAATGTTTGGTTTCGTCACAGATTTTTTGGGCTCCGGTCAACTATGGACTTCTCATACAGTCCTCAGCTCGAATCATTTTCGATCCAGTCTAATTTCATACCTGTGTAGATCTCGGCCTCGGAGGGGTCTTCCACCCGTTTGTGCTGGATGATGTAGTCTGAAACTTTGCAGCCAATCACGGGCTCTACGTCCAACCACTCCAGGGCTACCATTGTGCTCGACGGCTCCAGGTAAGGAGCTAGGCGCAAGCTGAAGAAAATAAGAACGCATGTGACGAGGGAATCGAACACAGTGACCAATTGATCAAGGTGTATTATAAAAGCAAACACAACTGTGCATTCAAATTATTATCACTACATCACGTGCCATTGCTTTAAATGTACTGTAACGGTTTGCCGTTCCGCTATGTAGCAAACTGTGGTGAAAGCCACGTGAGATTTCCCTTTCAACCGGGGGAATTTAAGCCATGGGACCTGGATGAGAACATGTTCTCATCAGATCTGATTGACAGCTGTGAGGACTTTGGGAACTGTCCCCTGTGTCCAGATGTGTGTGCCCGGAACGGCGCATCCGTGCATGCATCTCGAAAATCACTCTCGCACGTGCGCGTGTTCTGCGGTGGCATGGCATCACCTCCCACTTACACCGGCTGTCTGAGGGGACTGCAGTTCGGCAGGCCGTCTCCGCTGAAGGCACTCAGGTCACAGCGACACCAGTTATCGATGACGTCGCCCTTTCCGGCACACCAGTATGAGCTCATTGTGGCGCTCTTGAAGGCCTGTGAAGGGTAACAGGTGAGAGAAACGCAATTATCTTCGGGAACATGCACTGCCTGTCCATCGGCGTGTACTCCCGACCTGCCCCACGGTCTGAGCACACACTCACACACACAAGCATGAGAATCGTTAGACTTCTTCCTATAGGATCGCCCTCCTCCAGTCACTTCCTTTTGCACGCTTCCAAAAATAAATCAGGGGCATTTAAGTGAAAAGCCTGAAACGAGCCGAAATGTCCTTCAGTGCAGAAATATTCTCTTTATGAAAAAAGTCTGGCGCTCAGATGGGGGCTCACTGAGATAGTAAGCACAGTTCACGCGCACGTAGACAAAAGGACCTTTTCAATTGCACCGCGCCCAATTACCGGAAGCGGGGAACATTTCACTAACATCGTCCATCTTACGCTTAAGATATCATAGACGTATAGTGACACTTTCATGATGGAGGTGTGAATGCCCCCCCTCCCCCAACCGTTTTGACGTCTAGGTTTGTGTGGTCGTCTGTCTACGGCGGCGGCGGGAGGAGCGGGGGAGTTTGTGAGGAGATGACATCATCTCCTCATGTCTCCTTGTACTGCTTCATTAACGGTTGAAAGCCAAAAAAAAAAAAAAATAGAAAAAAAAAGAAATGTATGAAGCTCAGTCATTCTTTAAAAGGCAGTGAAATGCCAATGGGAGCCGTCGAGGCAGTAAAATATAATGTCAGGGCTTCCCTTTGAGCCACTGGAGCGACAGTGGGAGTTCAGGGGAGTGCGCAAGCACTCTGGCTCCCCCTGTCACGCAATTGGATCAATGGAGCACTCACTTTTATTTATGTGGCCTTAACTTAACTTTGGACAAGTGCTTGATCACAGTCACGAAAATAGGACACTGGAGCCACACACAGAAACATTATCGCCGGGTACCAGGCGCCCGACATCGAATCACAAAGAGGAGCCGCTCCTTTGTTCACCATGAGGAAAAGCAAGGAACGCCTCTTGAAGACCACCGGGCTGTCTGGCTCGGTCGGCAACGCACGCACTACAAATTTATTGTGGATTTCCACCATTGTTTCATGCCGATGGAGCAATGCCAAAGTCACCATGCACAAAGGTAGACAAAAGTAATGTTTTTTTGGGGGGGGCATGCACAGCACGAACAAATGATAACTTGCATTCTCAAAAAAACAAACAAAAAACAAAACAAAAGGCACACCGTGTTGAAAATCTGAATTTTGGAAGAAAATACAAGTAAATGTGATGAGGGAATTGAAATCTGATTTTCACACATAGACAGTACGACTTCTCACAAAGTTCATGTCAAGGTCAATTCAAGGTCAAGTATTTTCTAAGTTTTAGCCAAGCGAGCCGCAAGTCATAAAAGTCATGGCCACCTCAGTCTGAATGGACTCAAGTCATGTGACTTGAGTCAGCCGCCACTGCGTACACAGATACGGCGTTGCTTGCCGTGGCGCAGGTTCTTCAGTTCTAGTGTGAATGTGACCCAAATAAGTGACATCCAAGTCCAACTGGGGGAGGCTACAATCACAACAACAGAGAAATGAGCAGCGTCTGTCGAGTACAAAAGAGGAGAGAAGAACAATCGTGTCCTGCTTTTACTATACGTCTCGGCATGTGGCCGTTGGCCTCAGGAAGGAGGAAAACGTTATCTTATCGGTGATGAATCTGCTCGACCGACGACGCCGCAACACCTTTGGGATGAACTTTTATAGTCATTCATCTTCTGGATGAATGGGCAAACATTCCAGCGGGCACACTTGTGCAGAAATTATTTTCAGAAGGGTACAAACTGTGAACGCTGCAAAGAGGTGTGTGGATGAGTTGGGGGGGGGGCATGTCCATATTGTGGACCCTCCAAATGTCATAACTTCTCTCCCCGCTGCCATGTGAATTTAAGAAGAAAAAACAAATTGCAGGGGGCTTGCCACCTGATGTTAGCGGGAAACCAGCCACAAAGTCAAGATATTGAAAAAGAAAAAAAAAAAGCTGGGATTGAAGGTCTACACAGGCTCACAGACCAGACAAATCGGAGGTATGACCTCAGCTGCTCGAGGCGAACGAGAGCAAGGGCCCGCCATGGATGCGCCGCTATTAGATTCCTCAAAAAAAAAAAACAAAGAGCCCATATGGCTCTGCACGACTGACTGCATGGCTGCACATGTGAAAAATAGACAAAGCGATTATCACCGTGTTTATGTTTGACAAGTAAGGCATGCCAGTCCCCCACTGGCTAAACGGGGATTGCAACGGTGCTTTTTGGAATTAGGCTGGTGCACTGACACACACACAAAAAAAAGTACTTGATTTTCAGTTAACACGTGATTAAAATGTGTTCAACTAAATCTGATGTTTTTTTTTTCTTCCCAGAAAAACACAGGAAAATAACATGGGATAACACATTTTAATTATGTGCAACCCATGTACATTTTCCAATTCAGGAAATCCAAAGGATCTTCCTTTTTTTTGTTCAGCAAGAGGGTTGAAAGGGCTTAGGCGCCGGTGACTCGAACCGATCCAGTAATTTGTGCTTTTTTTTCCCTTTTGTTCATGTATGAGTTTCATATCGAATTACATTTAATAAAGGGCAGTGAGCAGTGAAAGCCACACACACCTTTGTTCCTATTTGACTATCCATTTCTACTCCGCTTATCCTCACGTGGGCCGCTGGGGCTGCTGGGCCCTATCCCAGCTGACTTCAGGCACCCTGAACTGGTTGCCAGCCAATCGCAGGGCACACGCAGGCAAACAACCCTTCGCCCTAACGAACGGAGACAGTGTTCCCTTCACCTGCCATGGGAGGAAACCGGAGTACCCGGAGAAAACCCACGCAGGCACGGGGAGAACATGCAAACTCCACACAGGAAGGCTGGAGCCGGAATCGAACCCTGCACCTCTGCGCTATGAGGCGGATGTGCTCACCAGTCCTCCGCCGTACTGCCTCCTATTCTACTATTCTATAATATTATTACAGAAGTAAGGCTTTGGGTTAGTCATGGCATGCAGTGGAGGCGAGGGAGGCGCACGTGTCCGTTGCTGCGACTTGATAAAGGGGTGATATCTTGTACTTTATTGATTATTCCTAGACGCATTTCCCAGCACACTATAAAGACACAGACTGTACATTCTGGATGTCCACGTTTGCTTTCAGCATCAGTCGATGGCCCTCCGTTTCTCCCTTTTCGCAAATATCTCACAAGACGATCAATATCGAAATGAATTGAGTTGAAGTAATTGCATCTCAAAGCCTTGATGATGATACTTGAGCATCAGCAACAACTCCAGCTGCAAAATTCTGAGCCTTGACGTCACGTATAGCCCCTCCGGCAGACTAGCTGGCACCGAAACACTATTTGGACCTTTCATTTTCGTCAAAGGCTGATGTGACTTACAAGAAGGCCACGGAGGCCACTGTGACCTCTTTAATGTATTAATCAGTTTGCCCGCTATAAACTGACCACATTACTGTCCGTCTTTAGCGGCTAATACAAGAAAACACTGGCCAGCTGGCCCGCAGTATTCATTTATAAAGTGATCCCCGGTGGTGGTAAAGAGTCAGCCCACGCAGGAGATTGCCAATGGTGAATGGAGAGTGTGGGGGTTTTCGTGTGTACCGGCATATGTGTGTTTACGGGGTAATTTCAATCGGTCAGTCCCGAAAATGTCTCGTCGAAATACACCTAAAAAAAAAGGGTGTAATTTGCATTCCAGCCCTGTAGCTGGCACTATAGCTTCGTAAAGAAGCACTCCAAGCATGCTGACCAAGCGCTTTTCCTCTGTTGTTTGATCCAGATGACTTTTTGGGAATGTGCATACATCCTTAATGTCGACTGAAAATAAGTCAATGAGATTTTCATCCGGGAAAAAAAAAAAGTAAATAAATAAATAAAATAAAGCATTCAAAACTCAAAGCTCCCAAAAAATGTTGACATACTGTGCATACTTTTGTATCTTGGCAGGTAAGCAACGGAGAAATAGCCTTGTGAGACATCATTCTTCTTTTGAGTGTATTTGAAACCATTTCTTGGAGTTGGCCTGTTGCAGTCGTACTTCTCAAACGGCAACAAGCGCTTTTCTGGGAATTGATTATGTCAGGCTACCTCTGCATTTTAATAAATGCCCTCAAGCTTGGTTTCTCGGTTGGTATCTACGAGGAGGCAACCTGGGCTTTTTTGTGTCTTTAGAGCCAATTGTTGACATCAGGCATCAGTGTTGATTTGTATCTGGATTTGGACGGTGCCTCTTTGAGACAAGCCCCCATGAATGACGGCAGTTGTGCGCAAGCATGGCAGCAGCCCGCCTTCAAGATATAGCGCGTTCTTAGCCGCTAAGATCATAAGCATTTCGCTCGAAGGGCCCGCCGTAACTCAAACACGGCAACGTAGGGCTACTGGCGAGCGAATATTAACCATGGCGTTTTCCCCGAATATCCCCGAGGGTGCTTAGTTATGCGCATGCCGCAGGTGATGCCGTTATTCAAGATCGCCGTTCCAAGAGCGGCTCCAGTCAAGACCCGGCATAATCCTGACCAGTTTTTTGATATGATTAACTTAAGAGCACAAGCGCTGCGTCGCCAAGGAAGTGAGCCTATCACCGTAATGTCTTCCTTTCTCATCAACTCCCGTAAAATGACGACCAAGCATATAAGTTTATGTCGTGCTCCAGCAAACTATAAAGAAGGTTCAATGCCAGATTGCACTTCTGAGGGTGTCGCCACCTGACCCCATTTTTGTTTAATGTTCTATATACGGTTTACGCAGAAGTGCAAAGTAGATCAGCTGTGACCTGTGCTAAAAAAAAAAAAAAAAAAAAAAGAGAAAACACTTGGGTTAGAAGCAACTGCCAGAGTCATACGCCAGAAAAAAATGGTCACCTTAACCTCACCTACATGATTTTCTATAAACGAGTCATGCTGTGGTTAAAATATGGCTTTTTTTTTCTTAACTCCCCCGCCCCCCCCAAAAAAAACTCTTAAGATGTTGCCAGAGCATTCCACTTATTTTATATTCACTGATAAGATTTTGTGAGAGTAGGGTCTAAAATAGTAACATACAATTTAAAGTGCACGTCAAAAACAGTGGGTTGCTCTTCGTATCCATCAGACATCAATTGAGCCTCTCGGGGCCATGACCAAAAACTCTGGCGAGCTTCAGGGGCAGCAGAACGTTGTATTACAAGAGCGATCATCAACTTACCAAGTATTTAAAGCAAATTCCACATTCTGTGTGGATCAGGCTTGCACATTTCTGTGTGTTCCAACTGGGTCTTATTACCATGAAATTGAGATGGTATTTCATTTGCACTTCAAGTCAGGAGCGTCATCTTGTTCCAGACAGAAATGTCAGCCTTGCCCCATAAAAAAAAATCCACATTTTTACCCTCAGCAACATCTGCCAAAGAAGGCAAAAAAGGGGAATGATTTTTGTGTCGATTCTGGGAACACGTTTGAAGGATCGTCTTATTACTCTGGAATTTAGTCTTTTAAATATTTTTGGGAGGCTGAGGGGGTTTCATGGCTGATCCCATGTAACTTCATCAAACAAAGCACTGAAAAATGTCAGCTGTCATTTCACGTCCTGCTCATGCAATCATTGGTCGGACTACTTGTCGGTCATTACTAGCAGCACCATAGATTGGTCGGTTCTGTCCCTTCAGGGCCTGCCTTCAAAATGGAGGAACTGCACCTGACTGGTGCCTCAAGTTCCTGTTCATACAGCATCTTTCATCAACTGGCCATTGTGCCGACATTGTAAAGTGTAACGTCAACGGCAACACGCGTCGTGGGAAATAAAATGTCCAGTCGGAATTTCATAACGTCTCTTGTGCTGAGACGTGCGTTGCTCTTTCGGCGGCGCCTTTATTCGCTGCGTCCGAGGTGTAAAACTTTAATGACGTACGTGTCTGCCATTTTACTACTGTTCATGCAGGCATTAGCCAGTCAGCTTGTCAGTCATTTATGGCAGCAGCTTGATGAGTTAGTTCTGTGCCCGCATCTTCACACAGTAATTGCTAAGTGGGAATTAAGATGCTGGATTTGACGACATCAGTCGACATGTACAGTATTCATCCCTCGCATGACTTCCATTTGGCTTGAGTATTTAATGATTGCTGCGTATTCAAATCATTTGTCCGCATGGCGTGTGTTGCTTTGTTGAGGGTCTTAAATCATGCTCATGCTGATTTACATACCGCACTTGATTTCCCATACGCCCTACTCATCTCGAGTTTTCTTCTTACATCATCCAATCTGCTCATGAGGAGAGCAACTACTGTACTCCACTATTTTTTATTTTATTTTTCAGTCCTGCCCAAAAAATGAAAATAAATAAATAAAAGAAGAACAAGCTCATCACGGAGAAAGCTTTTGCAACATGGCAGCTGTCTTTCCTGATCGAGGCAGCCAAGTAGAAAGAAGTCTCAAAGGTGTGTGTGTGAAAGACACACACACACACACACGCGCGCGCGCGCTCACACACACACACACACACACACACACACACACACACACACACACACACACACACACACACACACGCAGATACCAAAAGAGCAGTTGTGTGCCTTTCGAGGGCTTTAATTCAATACACGCTATACTGTACTTTTTAATGTGCCTTTCAGGCTATAGCAGCAGTTGCACTTGCAGGGGCCAAGAACAGAAGCAAAAGGAAGTTAAAAAAAAAAAAAGCTGAGTGATGGACTCCCCCTCCCTCCCTTGGGGTCGATGACATCAATAAGAAGCTAATAATCCTGCCCGGAGCTACCTCACAAGAGCAATCCAGTGCAGTCCAGACCTCCTCCTCCACATACATTTAACTCTGTACATCCCCACAGGACCATAGCTATAGACGCAAGAGGGGTGGGGTTAGGAAAACGAGGGAATGGAGACATTTTTTGCTCCACTTCACGTTTGGTTATCGATGAGGCCCACTCGGGTCTGTCTGCTATTGATTGCGCTTTTTCTTTGGGGCTGCGGTGTTTGTTATGGGAGGCACGCACTTTGCAAAGCTTTGTTATTGTATACACGTGCATGCCCTGTTTTGTTTGTTTCGGATGTTGTTAGGTAAGGTGTTTAGAGGCCTGAGTAGGGAACGCATAAATGAGTTGCAAATAGTCACCCTACAGACAGAGACATGCACCGCGTGAGAGCTGCAGCTATTCAAAGGTGAACGCAGAATTGAGCAAAAAAAAAAAACGGGGTAAACTAATTTCAACATGACATCATCATAACCTGCACCTCCCTCCCCCACACGTTGTTTTGTCTTATGTAAATGGAATCTCCTATGATTGACGTCCACGGTCCAAACATTTGGCTATTATGGTGATACTTTATTACATATGGCGGTCAAGGCTTGTTGCGACGTAAACACACACACACACACACACACGCACACACACGCACGCACACACACACACACACACACACACAGACTGTGACTTGCTCACAAAGACAGAAAACCATGATGTCATCTTTTTTATGCCCGCTGTATCGCTGGGCTCATTTACTAAAGATTTACCATATAATGCCCCCTAGAGGCGATGGGTTTAAACTGCCCACCTAAATGCCTCAAGATGCATTGTCAATGATGAGCATAAACAATACAAGGTCCATTAACTAATGAACTCCAACTTTCCAACTAGTGACGTATTACAGTGATCCAGAAAAAAAAAAAAAAAAAAAAACGGCATTATAACAAGATTTCAGTCGGAACGGATCAGAGATGGTGGGATCTCCTTTCCAGGATGACAAAGCTGTACTGGATCTGGAGTGGGCCACATTTATCACAGAATACGGTCCTAAAACAAGTTAGCTAAATATGCACGAGAGTCCATAATGAGAAGAAGTGCTGTGAATAGATGCCTTCGGGAAAGTGATTCCATTCTCGGGCCCTGGCCTGGTCACCTAAGATCTTGTCCTGGTCGTTCGGTGCAAAATCCATTCAGTAACAGCTTCAGACGCAGCCACCTAGCCCCCTCTCCAAGCAGGAGAGCAGGGGAAGGAGAGAGGAGAAGTGGCAGTAAAAGAGGCTGACATGTATGTTAACTAGACGCCAGAGTGTAATCATAAATTTTAAGTCAAAATTTGAACATCTCAGTTAATACAAGATCATTATGCTGTTGTGCTTTTAATGTTTTCAAGAATGTTCTAGACGAATAGGAGATTCAAGGGGCATGCGGTGCAAGAGTCCATACTCACGTTTATTTGGCTGGAGCTTTGGAAACCAAGGCAGTGGGAAAAGCAGAACGGATGAAGATCCTCGTTGGTGTCCGAGCAGTGGTGTAGCCATAGCTCGTAATTTAACCTCAAAATCACCACTTCTCCTTTCTCAAAAATTCAAAGTTGTCTCAAACAAATTACCGGTAATTTCCATTGCCGGTGCAACGTACAGGTTATGGATCACATACATGGTTGAAAAAGTTTTGAAATCATTCAGTCTGGCATTTGAGCAGGGGTGTGTAGACTTTTTATATTAACAATAAGTTATGCCAATGGGTGTAGAATGGGACCAGCAATCAAATGATTTGGCAGTTCTCGAGAGCATTGAACCCCCATCATTTTTGCGCAATGGACCGCTCTCACGGTAAGACACGTTTTGACGGAGCTTCGAAGCCACAATGAGACCGAGCCATCCGCGAAGCCCGCCGTCTCGTCGGCAGCTCAGCCGAAATCGGCCACCGACGCACATGGAGTTTCTCCTGTTTCAGATGCTGAACTGCGGTCGCCAGTCAATTCAAGCCAGCCGGCATAACAATTGTTCATATTATGCATGACGCAAATTTAACAACAACCTAACAAGTAATCATGTATGTAGACATAAATGCCTTAATATGCTTTGATTTGACAGTTGGCGCTCGGAAGCAATCCAAGCATTTCCCTTGAATTCGACTTTGCGACTGGGGGGCTCAGCTGGCCTGACCACAGTCACGCTGGCGGCTTAGCTGCAATAAGCTTGGTTCGCAAATGCGTACTGACACAATCCAATCTGAAGAGCACGTGAATATTTTCAGCGTGCATGTGCACCTGCGCACCACTTAATTACACCCCGAATTAAGGAGTTAGCATTAATAAAATGAATGAATGAAGAAAGAAAGAAAAAAGAAAGAAAAAAAGATGTATTGCAAGGGGAGTCAAGCGCTCAGTTCAGAAGTAGTTGGCTTGGGAACTACGCGTGAGGGAAATGGGCGTGTCATGTTGTCAGGACCCTACAGTCTGTACCAAAATATCCAACTAAAGTTCGGATTAAATTACGTTGTTGGTTTCTGAGCATCTAATATAATACCCATACTATGTCATATTATAAGAGTCTGACCTCTTTGGTGACGTTGTCCTGGACCAGGCTGTAGAGAGGCACCACGCGGCTGACGTCCAACAGGACGGGGATGGGCGAGGGCGGCTCGCCGCCCCTGCCACGGCCCCTCGCCACCATGCCTCCTGCCGCCCCGGCCTGGTGGTGGCACAGGTGACAGCTGAGTGGGCAGCTGCCCTTTTCCTCGCAACGGATGTCCACACCACTGACCGCGTCGTCGGACAGCAGCTGGCTCTTCTGCAACGCTGCCAGGTAGCTAATAAAGGGCACCGATTTCAGCTCATGACGCCCGCTGCCGCCACCGAGCCCTTGCTCTGTTGCCTCTGGAAGAGAAAACAAGAACAAGTACCGGTACAAGAAACCGCTTAATGTCTCCATCTGGATTGACTCTCTTGCTCAAGAACCACCACCTCGAAACGCTCCCTGTAACCAGCTTTGTAAAGTCCGGATGGCAGGAAGTGCACCCCCATTATTGGCAGGGGAATATATGCAATTAATTGATGCACCCCCCCCCCCAAAAAAGGTATACTATTGCCTATGAATGCCACACGATGGTGGCAAACCTCTACTTTTGTCTAAGTGTTGCCCTTTTCCTCACATAAGCTGCTCTACTTATGTGTTTTTTGTCTTATGCAACAGTTGTCTGCAGACGTGCAGGTAGACGCACAGACAAAGACAAGAAGAATGGTGCCAATTTCCCCAGCCATTGATCTCGCACCAGTTTGTGAATTAAAATGTCGTTGTTGGTTGCAGTATAATTACTCATCTGGGACACAACCCCGGTGGGTGGCCGGGGTTGCGTTGCCCAGGGAAACAACAGACAAGGTGACAAATAAGTTCCATAGCAATGCAACACAGATGTGCAGGAGGTATGGCTAATAATTTAAATGCTTGGGTGTGTTGGCTACTATTAATGACACAGTACAGTTTTCATTGGTTGAAAAAATATAGACTGTGCATAATGTAATCAAATTGTAATCTATTTTTCTCTGTACAATATGCATGTATTTAAGATGTAGTTTACTTCCAGTATACCAATTAAGTCATACTATTTCATGAAATATTTAGGATAATAATCAAACATGTTGAATAGCAAACGTTACTCAAGAAAAATAAATATTACCATTTGGTTTTTGCTTTTTCGTTACTCTGCTACGGAGTGCAGCACAGTTATACCAAACGAGCCCCTTCGGTTTGAAGACTTATTCTGACACCTAGTGGCTATACTCTGCAATCACCATCTCGAGTAAAAACACGATGACATCATTTCAGCCCTTTCTCGATCTGTCTGTCTGTCTCACTAAATTCATAAGAAAAACCGTGACTATCGAAACTATGTACTTGCCACCTGCTAGAAAAGTATTAATTATTGCTGTTGTCATTATTATTATGAGCATTACTATCATTGTAACCACACATAAAGCTTTTTTTAAAAAGCTTGTAATTCAGGAAATAAACGAGTTGAGTTAAAAAGGTATTATTATTGTTTGGCCATTGACCACGCCGTGTCGGCACGTCAGCAGCCAATCAGGACAAACGTTTGAGTTTACGCAGTTTTCGTAAACATGGACCCTTGCGTAAATGACGTAATCTCCACTGCAGTCTCTCCAGCGGACGCAGCAGCAGAAACCGAAAGCAAGCACGTCAGGCTCAGCACATCTTTACTTGCCACCGTCCAGCTAGCAAACAAAGGTAATTTATTTTCACAGTGTCATGTTAGGAGAGCACATTTCGAGTGTACAGTCATAAAAAAATTGCCATTTTCTTCACGGAATTAGTGTCGATTGTTCTCGAGGGGGACGCTTCGCTCGTGTGGCCTGTCATATTATTAGCCAAATATTATGAAGGCTGCTCAATAATTAGCTTTGATGTGTGAGCACAATGTTTGCACCCTTTCAAGGCCACCGTTCAACATGATTATCCCCTCAGATATGGGCTTGGCACGTTGAATGTTGATGGAGACACCTTTTACGTTTGGATTCTTGAAACACAAATGACATTTTATCCTGTTTTGCATTGTGACTTCTGACATAGGCGTTGCATTAACGTCATGCTGCGTCCAAATCATAGTCTAAATATTACTGTGTGAATGGTAAGAGACAAACATCCACAGCATATCACGTGCTCGAAATTCCGTGGCCATTAAGATGTGCATTTCAGAAGTAACTGCATGTCAAAACAAATGAAATGATTGACATTTTCTATTTATTCTACTGCAGTCACATCTGAATGTTTATACATATGATTTAGAGAAGACGATGCCTCTGAATTATTGAACAGCATAACAGTGCAGTAACGTGGTAATTATGCCATGGCCTCTTTCTCTTGCAACCTGCATCTCTCTCCCTCTTCCGAGCGGTCAACTGTCACTTTTTGCAATAGTTTTGTCCTAATCGGGTTCGGAAGCACCACGTGAGCGGTGGCTGGAAGAAGAGTCTCCAGCAACCAGACCCGTATTCAATTCTTTGCAACCTAAACTAGGATCAACTAATTGAGCTAGGATTGCCAAGTTTAACCAATGTTCCAGCAACACTCTTCATGTCATGGTAACCTATGATGTTTTCTTTCTTTCAGGCAAAAAGCCCCAATGGCAGCAGCATCCTACCCGCTTGACCCAGATCTAATGAGAGAGGTCCTTGAATGTCCCATCTGCTTGGAGACCTTCAACGAGGACCAAATGAGACCCAAACTCCTCCAGTGCGGTCACACTGTGTGCCGGCATTGCCTGGAGAGGTTGTTGGCCAATACCATCAATGGTGTGCGCTGCCCCTTCTGCAGCAAGGTCTCACGCATGAGCAACATCTCGCAGCTGGCCGACAATCTCACGGTGCTCAAGATCCTCGACTGCACGACGTCGTGCGGCGCCGCCGCCGCCATCCTGATGTGCGGATCCTGCTGCAGCCGCCTGCCGCGACACTACTGCCACGACTGCGCCGCCGTCCTTTGCGAGCTCTGTAAAGGGGAGGGCCACCGACACCGCGGCCATTCCGTTCAGCCCATCCGGATGGCTGCCGAGCAACGTCGGAAAGAACTGGGCGCCAAACTGTCCACCTTACGCGACATCATGGGCGAAATCCAGAAGAAAAAGATGGCTCTTGAAAACATTACCAAATCGCTAAAAGCAAAGTACCGAGCGGTGCAGCAGGATTACACAGCGGCCGAGCTGCAACTTCAAGAGGAGCTGAGCCGCTCTCGAAGGACATTTACTGCCTCAATAGCAGAGGTACAAAAGCTTAATGGGCAGGCCCTTGAAGAGCAGACGTACCTCCTGAACATTGCGGAGGTGAAGGTGGTCTCGTGCTGCGACTATCTGACCATGCGGGTGAGGCAGAGCGACATCAGCTTGCTCAGGGACGATGGAGGCGGGTGTGAGGACGAGGAGCTCAACCTCCGAAGCAGCTTGCCGACCGTGTTTCAACTGCACGAGCCGCAGTTGATCCGAACGGAACCCTCCAAACCAGTCGAGGTGGCGCAACTGACCACGAGCACGTACACAGTCAATACAGACAATTTGGATTGTGCTTTGGACATTGCACCCAAGGGTGACGTGGAGGGTCGAGATGGGGCTGTGGGCGGTGCAAAGGGTCCTCCCATGGATCTTTACCGAGATGTTGACATGGTTGCAGCAGTCGATGACACTACAAGTAGCTCACCGTGCACTTTTAAATCCAAGTCAATGGACGCAGGGGGGGAATCAGAGGGAGGCGCGTGCGCAGGTCCCCCGCCGTGCCAGTTTGTGAAGAAGATGGGCTGCAAGGGAGCTCTTCCTGGTTCTTTCAATTTACCAGTGAGCATCTGCGTGACCCAGCAAGGCGAGGTCCTCGTGGCTGACCGCGGCAACTACCGCATCCAAATCTTCAACCGCAAAGGTTTCCAGCGTGAAATCCGCCGCAACGCCAGCAGCATCGACAACTTTGTCCTGAGCTTCCTTGGTGCCGACCTGCCGAACCTCATGCCCTTGTGCATTGCCGTTACAGCACAGGGCCTGATCGGCATCACTGACAACTACGACAACTCGGTCAAAGTGTATACCATGGACGGGCAGTGTGTGGCCTGCCACAAGAACCAGCTCATCAAGCCCTGGGGTATTACCGCAATGCCCTCGGGCCAGTTCGTGGTGTCGGACGTGGAGGGCGGCAAGCTGTGGTGCCTTGCCGTCGACCGCAACCTCGGCGTGGTGAGCTACAGCCGGCTGTGCTCGGCGGTGCGGCCCAAGTTTGTGACGTGCGACGCCGCCGGGATCGTCTACTTCACCCAGGGCCTGGCGCTCAACTTTGAGAAACGCCACAACGAGCCCCACCTGGAAGGGGGCTTCTCCATCGGCTCGGTGGGCACCGACGGCCAACTTGGCAAGCAGCTCAGCCATTTCTTCTCCGAGTCGGAGGACTTCTGCTGCATCACCGGCATGTGTGTTGACGTCAACGGGGATCTGCTGGTGACGGACAGTGGCAGGAAGGAGATCTTGCAGTTTCCCAAAGAAGGAGGGTTTAAAGTTCTCATCCAGGAGGGACTGAATTGCCCCGTGGGCGTGGCCACCACCCCCAAAGGGCAGCTCTTGGTGCTGGACTGCTGGGACCACTGTGTCAAAGTCTACACGTATATTCAAAGAAGGCACTCTTCCACCTCCTAGAGCCGTGAACCGCACCAAGTGGGAAAGCAAGCATCGGTATCTTTTGTTAGGCGTTGGCAATAGTTGCACGCAGAAGAATGATTTTTATTTCGTTTCAACTCATCCTCACAACAATTTGTTTTGGCCAACGGAATTTAAAATTGTCACCTCAAAGTAATACCACCAAGCTGGCGTTCGTATTATTTAATGCAATAAGCTTTATATTTCAAACAAGTTTCTCCCTCTAACTGGTTTACCTTTTGCAATACGTGAACAGTAAAGAGAATAATGGAATCGTGCAAATCTGTGGGCTTTGAGCCTATGAAGCACCTTATTGTGGGCAAACTGTTTAAATCGCATGTTGACAGCTTTAAAGTTCTCTGTGCAGTTAGCTAATAAGTCAATAGCTTTGAGAAACTGCAATTCTGTACAATTCAGGGAGCATGCACCAAGTATTCTGTGTTACACGCACTCTGTGGCTCATTTGCTGTGGGGAGGAAGAAAAAAAAAGTTGTGGAATATTACACTCGTCATTGAGGTTTTGTGCGTTTTTATTCGGACCGGCCTTGTCAAGTGCTGGCAAAAAAATGTCACTGTAAAAAAAAAAAATGTAAATGTTATGTAGTTGTTTACCGTGTGTTCTTTTCGTTCATCCGAATCGAAGAGTGATAGAAGTGAGGCTGTAAAATGTCAAAATTGACTTCCAAATACCCCAAAAAAATGCTGAGCTTATGCTTATGACATCAGTCTACGTTTTTTTTTAAATTGTACGGTAGAGGCTGTGTCGAACCCCTGAGACCGATTCACCGAACCCCCTGGGTTCGATCGAACCCGGGTTAAGAGCCGCTGCACTAGACAAAGATGACTCTCAATGCACAGATGTCATTGCTTCATCAAAACTAAAGAATAGACTGCATGGGTTATTAATTGAACAATATATTTATTGCTGTGGTTGTAGTCCAATTATCCAAATATTGCAAACAGCTCGGCTTAATTAGGTGCAGTTGTACACAATGGCAAACTACAACCACAATGATAATAAAAATGAATATAATTTTTTTTTCTTTTGTGGTAGGTTAGCGAATTGTGGCACTTCACCTTTTCTTTTGTATGCTCCCTAAAAAACACGTGCTAGCGTATATAGCATTCTCATTGTCTTTTTTTTTCTTTTTTTTTTTTGTGGGGAGCAGCAAAACCTAGATCTTATATTGTGTAGGAAATATGCCTGACATATGTAATATGCACCTTCCAGCCCAGGTTGTGTTCCTAGGAGCACCTTGTTCAAGCCTTAAAGATGACTGCACTTAAATTGCTCCATACACATCTAGACAGTACACATGTGTAAGCGTTGAGGAGGTGAAAATCTCCACATACATGCCCGTGTGTGTGTGTGTGTGTGTGTGTGTGTGTGTGTGTGTGTGTGTGTGTGTGTGTGTGTTTTGTAAATGTTTTCCATTACTATCCAGGGGGTCACTGCCGTCGTTAAGTCAGAAAAGTCTTTCTACCCACAATCTTGCTGCTGTAGACTGTAAATTTCCCCAGTGTGGGACAAATAAAGGATATCTTAATGAATTAATTAAAAGTTTATAAACACAAATTAACTGTCAGTGTGCAAGTGTACTGAACATCAATGTGTGTGTCACATTTTAATTTTTATTTCGCAACATTTCAACCCGCAATTGTGAAAACATTTGCATTAGGTCCTTGAACTGAATTGCCCGCACCCCCTCCCCCATGTCTCTCAGGTGCTCTGGAGCATGTGAATTTTCCAATGTGTTGAACACATGGACAAAAAAAAAAAAAAAATCTTGTTGTGGTCCAGTCTGTGTTTGAATTGTTGATTCTTGAGTGCAATAAACGTTTTGGAATCAAACATAGGTTCAACATTGTCAAAATATTATTTTGATGCGTTTTTTTTTTCTCCAGGCAGCTTTGAATATATAAAAAAACGGGTTAGCTTTGTCTGATATTTACATTTGTTTGATTATCTTTGAAATGGGGAAACTGCAAAAAATTAAAGGCTAGTTTTTTTTTCGCGACATGGTCAACGATTGTCACGTAAGCACTAAAATAAGCTCCAGACGAAGAAAACAATGCAGCGCGTTACAAACGTTTTTACGATGAAGTTCCTCCTCAACTTTTCCCGCAGTGCTTTGTGTGTTTATTTCGTCTCACCTTTCTGGTACTGGAGCCAGAGCTGCTGCTGCGCCTTCTTGCTGGGGAAGTAGATGCTGCAGCTGAGCTCGGAGCCGTACAGCGCCTCTGACACGTAGTGGCTGCCGTATTGCCCGAGGAATGCCAGCAACTCCTCGCGTGTGCTCTCGCCTGACAGCGTCTTGAGAACCTTGGCGAAACCTTATGGGTCAAGAACGTGAGAAATAAATATGATCACTGCACTGCTGCGCAATAATGGCCCGCGGGGGGGGGGGGGGTCACGTCAACATAGACACACATAACCTTGTGGAGCCACCGCCTGTCAAGAGACAACTGGAATGGTCAACATTATCTCCGCACAGCATAAAATCATCTTAGGTAACGCGCAGAGAACTTGTTTGCTAATTCCAGGCGCTCTCCAACTTTGTATGAGTGTTTATGTGCTTCATTGGGGCCTGCTATTTAGGTAATGAATATAAAACGGGCTCAGCAGATCAAGTTATTCACAGTTAACAAGTAAAAAAGGAGTTGATACTCCGAGTTAAAAGAGTGCCTGGTAATCGTGATTGAATAGATGCTCTTGAGCGGCGGAAAAACGCTTCTTGGGCTGACCTGAAGCCAGAGTGATGGAACTGAGCTTGACTTTGTACAGATTGCTGCGCACTCGCCACTGCTGAACCATCGGGTAGCCTGCGGCCTCGTTGAACTTGGCATCGCCTGAAAATGGTGCACAAGAGATTTTTCAGGTAGCTCGACGAGAGATGGACAGAAAAAAATGTTTTTTTTTAAATCCCTGTTTGCAGACCTTGTACACCCCAAACAAACACTCACCTGTGAGGAGATCCAAGTTTGGCAGCGGTTCGGACAACACGCCTCTGCATTGTTCCTCCACTGGCAGGGGGAGAACCATGAGGCCATCGGCTAGCTGGGGGAAGTCCTTCACAAAGTTGTTATCTCTGCAGGGAGGAAAAGGAAAGATTAACCCTCATTAACCTGCGGTGCACACAAATTTACTCCAAAGTGGAGCTTTGGGAAAGGCAAGGGGAGAAAAAAAACCTCACTTGAAGGAAGAAACCTTGAACAAAAGAAATCTACTACTAAATCAATTATAGCAGCGCTGCAATGTTGTTGTTGTTGGAACTGGCGCAGGCTAGTGGGGAAAGGGGGGGGGTCAACAATTTGGTCAATGTTACGTGTGAGAGTCTATTTCAAAAAAGAATCTGTCATCAGTGATAGTGTGTGCGTTTGTTTGCGTTGTACGTTTCGCCTTTGTGCAATGGATAAAGCGCTTTGGGCTTTTTATGGCCTAATGAAGTCAGCTCGCTTCCATTTCCCCAACAAAAAGACGAGATGTCGCGCTGCATTGTTCGAGCCCAGGCGTGCGGCCGTTGTAGTGGCAGCAAACCATTTCCCATAATAATCCACTTTTATGGAAGCGAGCGCAGGAGCGGAGAACGTGTGCCGTGGAGACTCCGGGGACTGTGATTGACTCTTGGTGGTATCAATTTTTCATCCTCTTTCATTGCCTTCTCCAAGCACCAAGCTTTGCGCACCTCACGACCTCGTCATGATTGACTCAAAGGCTTCAGGATCATAACGCATGTGTGTGTACATTGCACGCTGGGTTCCCTCCCCGGCCGCCTGGAACTGCTTCCATCCGGTACCAAACATAAGGTCAGTCGGTAGTTCTCGATGAAACCGACCAGATGAATGACCGTCGAGTACAGATCGCACAAATTAAATTTCCAGCATTTGTGTCTCCAATCCCGACGAGGATAAGCTAACGTGCAGAGTTGACAATCGCATGACGCAAGCTGCTATCATCAGCCATTCTTCTTTTGATGGAGTGTCACGATAGTTTGCACCATATTGTCCACAGCCGCATCGCACCGCATGCTGTCTCCAGGCTTCATTTAATTATTGCTGCTTCTTAATAGTATTCACCACCAACAGGTCCGCCCGCCTCCAGGCATTCCGATGACAGCTGCATCTCCAGGCAATGAATGGGTCCGCTCAACAATGCCAACACTGTAAATGATTCAGGATCCATGTGTGGCGAGCACTTTCCGAGACTCCCTAATCCCTTCCCACAGTAGCCGAGTACTGAATACAAATGTTGAGCACGGTGCACCACAAAGAACTCATTGTCAAGTGTCTCGGCTGCTAATGAAGCCACAACATTTTATTTCGACGTAACGGCATGAACACTCGTTCATGTAGCATTTAGCTTGGGATATTAAATGGTTAAAAAGAAGAAGAAAGAGCAATCTGGATCTGTTGATAGTGGACATACTGCAAAAAAAAGACAAAAAAATAACCTTCACATGTTAATAATGATAGCAGTGTATGATTTATGAAATAGATTTGTCGTGTATGTAATGAATGTATTTTTACACCCTAAAAAAAAAAAATCTTTGTTCACTGTAGTAGTAGCGTGACAAATATTGTCACGCGACTACGGTGCTGTGGAACAAATATCAATCCACTAGAGGTCACTCTTTCTCTGCATCAAAAGAAAAAGACTCAGGCTTTCAAGAAGAGAAATCAGCTTGAAATTTTCTGTGCTTTTTATATAAGACTGCAGCACGGTCTTGCTGTTTGATTAGGAGGGACTGTTCTGCATCCAACTGTAATGTGTTCAGAGAGCAACAGTACTAGCGCGTGTAAATGACAGACACACACAAGAATGATAACGGGATCAGAGAGCAGGTGTTAGGGAGGGGGAAAAGAAATGATTATGCTTCCAACCGAGGTGGGAAAGACGACACACTTTGTGACTCCCTGCCAAGAAGGTAAGAAAAGGCTCTTGCGAGGGAGTCGGAAAGTGGCCAGATGGTGGCCACTTTTGCCACAAAGAGTGAGGAAACAGTGAATCCAAACGTGGACAAAGCACATTTCTCAGAAGGACCGTGGTGGTGGCGACGGCGGGGGCGACGAGCCCCTGGAATCTCGTCAGTGTTTTTGAAGTGTGCTCCAGCCGCCACTAGGTGGCAGTGCAGCTCAGGTCAGAGGGCGGTAATGAGCAGTGGCCGAAGGAGAGCAAGCCCTGCGGCGTTATTTGATCAGCTGCATGGATGTTTGTCAGAGGGCTGTCTTTGCTCTGGGACTAAACAAACAAACAAACATACTTCACTCTCAAGTTGCCGGTACAACAATATGTTGCTAAGAAGCCACTTCTATGCAAACGCTGACTCCAATGTGACAACTACCAACTCAAATAAATAGTAGCTGTTCTTCATACATTCTGTTGCTAGCCAAAACTTCAACACCTACAGTCGCATCGGTCAAAACAAAACATTGATGTTAAATGTTGACTTGAATCAAGTAATATGCTTTTTCCTACGATCTTATAACCATTTTACTCTCGTATTTTATGTTTAATACTAATAAAGATGTTCTTCCTTGTTCAATGTTAATGTCAAATGCCATGTGAAGTCATGTTTCTTTGTAGAGCCTTTAATCACAGAAAAGTCGCAAAGGGCTCCACCTGCCCGCAGTTGACAAATATTAACGACCACACTTTCAACCCTCAGGTGCAGAGTTTGCATATTCCCCTTGTGATTGTGTTTTTTTTTCTCTCCGGGTAGTCCCGTTTCCTCCCACATTTCAAAAACAAGCATGGTCGATCGACGGAACGAACGCTCTAAATTGTTTTTAGGTAGTTTGTTGTAATTTGTTTTGAAGGTTTTCTAACTCATGTGCATGAACCTACTCGATGTCTGTTTTGTTAGCTGCATGTCGTTGTCTACCAGCATGGTGGTGTCAATGTGGATTGTTTCAAAACCAGTAAGGCTATTGGATATGGGTCACTGGAGAGTTAAAAAAAAAAAAAAAAATTAAACGGAAATCTGATAAAGTCTCTAATTCGTAAATGGGTATAAAAACCCGCAGTGTAAATGCAGCCTAAGGCAAACGTTGTCTCCAGATGCGCCATATCTTGCTCCATCTTCTCTGCGACGTGAAAACAATCCCTATTCTTCCAAGGATTTGATCGTTTTTAAAAGATAAGCGGTAGACGCGGAAGCTGCGAGGAGATTATCATAATTGTGCTTGCGCATGTCTCGGCCTAAAGAAGTCATCAGCCATCTCGTGATCGTCTCTCCCCAGTCATCCAATAGCATAGAAAAATGAAATAAAAATAAAGCGCAAAATAGCCGTGGCACAGCATGCCGGCAATTTCTGCGGCTGCCTCGCTGTCTGGATTTAACAATGAATGGCATAATTCGCTGCTGCGTCAAAGAAAGGCATACAACAAAAAGGAAAGGGAACAAATATGCAAAAACAACAGCGAAAGTTTTTCCCCGACAATTTGTATATATTTTTTTCATATTCACAGAACTTTGATCATTTGTCAATGTGGAAACATGCTGACCGAACTAAATTGTGTGGGGTTTGAGATTCCACAGAAATGTTCAAATAAACATGTACAAAATAGAACATAACTGGTACACTGAATGTTACTATTTTCCAGTCATAAGTGAAAAGTCGAGCGAAGAGTGAGTTGAATAGTTTCATTCATACAAACGCCGTGCTCTGCAGCCACCTTGTGGCACTCACAAAGCTTCTTAAAAGTGATGTCAATCACTGGCTGTTTTAAGGCTTCTTTAATTGGGATTTGGTGCGCCAATGCAAATGACTGTTTTCTTTTTTTTTTTTTCTTTTCAAGATGACACGAGTACACAGCAAATCACATCCCTCCCCTGAGTTGTACATACAAGTGGAACGCAATGTAAATATGCCTTCTTTATGCTTCCACATTGTCAGCCGCCTCCCATTTTTTGCACAGCGTGGAAATGAACTCCAGCATTACCATAGAGATTGCCGCTTCCTAATGCAGAGTGAGGAAAAGAGCGGAGAGGGGCATACAAGGCAGATAGCTGTGCAGCTAATTGGGGGACTTTTTTTTTTCCTTTTTTTTTTCTTTTAACATTTTGCTGCTTCATGTTTAAATTGCAAAGAAAAAAAAAATCACAGAAAGTAGAAATCCATCTTTCGCCTGGACAGCAAGCATATCAAATCTGCTTCCCCTGAGCAGGCAGACGTAGCAGACATGGTTTAGTTTCTGTTTCAGTGCAATTGCAAGCAGCGAAGGGATTGGCATTTACGTCGCTGACATCTTGTAATTCGATGGAATGTGTCGGTAGTTTTTCCTCGCTTTTAAGGACATTTTCAATCTTGATTCAATCAGCAACACACTGTCTTGACAGACATAGTCTCTCCAGCGTGTCCCTGGTCGTCCCCGGGGCCTGCTGCCAGTGGGACGTGCCCGGAACACCTCACCAGGGAGGCGTCCAGGAGGCATCCTAATCAGATACCCGAGCCACCTCATCTGGCTCCTCTCGACGTGGAGGAGAAGTGGCTCGACTCTCATATCATGACATGCATTGGCAAATCCTCGCAATTGGCTCAAAATGGATCAACTGAAATAGTCTTTTTCCTGTTTAATTCAATGCGTGGACCCTTGAAACGTTCCTGTCCTTTCTCGACAGACACGTCCAGCCAACAATCTGTCAATCCGTTGCAGGGGGCAAATTTATGTTAACCCTAATATGCGCCAGTGATGATAACCTGATAACATGATAAGCTGTCCACTGTTGTGACCTCCGTCCCTGAAAGGGTTAACTTATCAGGGGGCGCGCTTCAGAGTGAGGTTGGTGATTTGGGGCCCTTGCTGAGGCCATCACAAGGCAATGGATTTGTCAGAAAAATACAAATGGGCAATGATTCCCAGAGAGCCTTTGCACCACTTAGTGCTTGGGCGCTAATAAAAACAATTAGTTGTTTCATTAGTGAAACCGATATCCCATTACTCATTTACAACTTGATGTGCATTAAAATCCTTCCGGAAATTTCCTTCCCCCATCATCCACCAAACGTTGTTGTGAGGCCAATCTGTTCTATCAATGAATAATTAGGAATAGACATGAGGCACATTAAGGTACAATTAGCTGTCATG